AGTATTCATAATATCCTAAAGTGTCCCCCCGATTCCATACAGCATCCCACTTGTGTCCTCATGTAAAACCCTTTTGCTGTAGGATATTTTGCTCCCTTCACTCTGTGCATGACTTGGAATCAGAAGCTTTGGGCCAAGATCAGACCAGGTGTCAGCAGGTGCTGCTCAGTTGGCTTCAGTGGAATTACTCCTACTTATATGTGGGGCCAGATCCCTGGTCCTATTGCTGCTCTTTTACACCAGTTTGGTAGCACAAAGGAGCCATAAACCTGGCCTAGCGACCCCTAAATTTTCATCCAGAGGAGGGGGAACCCTGGGTGGCATAAGGTGCAAGGCTGTGGAAAAGAGTGCATGGCTACTGCATTGCAGCTGTCCCTGGCTGCTGGGATGGCCAATGGGGCCTGTGGGCAACCAGGTACAATTTAGGGCAGCCCTGAGGCCCCAAGATCAGGGAGGTAGAAAGGTAACATAAAGCCACCTTTTCCTCTGTCCCTCATCCTATGCTGAGCCAGCTTGGCTGGACCACTGGATCCAGCCCCTGGTCAAACTTAGAGCACTGGGACTGAGTCAGATTTTGACAAGGAAGTGCCAGAGTAATTTATGGGGCAATGCCAGACCCAACAAGATTACAAAAAGGGCATTGCCCTGAAAACAGCCCCTGGATGGAGTTAATTGAACCTTCATTTGCCAATTTTGGTTAATATGCTTGTATATATTAATTATTATTATTATTAATAATTTATGTATACATGGTAACACACCTAGCAACCTCTGCCATGAATTAGTACTCCATTGTGCAAGAAACTGTACACACACATTAAAAAGACAATCCCTCCCCAAACATATCACGAACTAGGTTACAACAGAATACAACAAGTGGATGACATGAACAAATACAGACGCATGTGGGGCAGGGTGGGAGGAGAAGTTGAGGATGAGGTAACAGTAAAATCAAGCATAACTTGAGCTAAATGAGCATTAGTCAGCTCTCACCATTGTCAGCGGGCGAAGTCTTGTGGCCATCATGGGAGAGGTGTTTTATGGAAGGATTTTAAGTCAGATTCAGTGGTGGCTAGATGGATTTTGTAACAGTTTTTCTGATGCATATAGCGAGGTCTGGAAGAAAACATGGAGGTGTTTGTGGGCACTGAAGCCTGGGAGCACTGGCAGAGAGAGAGAGTGGTGTTTGAATCATGATGATTAATAGAACAACTAAGTTAGGTAGAGCTAAATTTTGAAGGGCTGTAAGTGTGACGGTACGAAGCTTGTGTTTGATAATGGTGCAGGGGTAGCCAGCGGAGGCATGAGGAGATGGGTGGTCAAAGTGACAATACAGGACAATTATTATGGCAGTAGCATTTTGAGTAGATTAGAGGCCTGGGTGAGTGGAAGTGTAGACCACAGTGACAAAGAAAGGGGGGAAGAGAGGGATTGTGGGGGAAAATCAAGAGCTTAGTATTGGCCCTATTGAGCTTAGGTTGGTAGCTGGACTTCCACAAGGAGCTGTCAGAAAAAGAGGCCAAGATTTTAATTTGGACAGAGGGAGACAGATGTGGAACAGAGAAGTAGATTTGAGAATCATTGGTTGCAGCTGTGAGGAATCAAGCGCAGCAAAGCTCCAAGCCACCCCCGCTTCCTCTCCCCACCTTTCTCTCTTTGACCTATGCTTTGGCCTTTGCCATGCTGTGACACAGGCCCCCAGGGAAAGGGTCACCTGTTCTTTGCAAACAACTCTTGTCTCGGACCTGACAAACTCACTACATCAAGTACATTGCTTACAGGGTATTTATCCACAAAGAATAACATGAAAGGTCTCTGTTGAAAGCTTGCAACTTATCAATGTTCACTATCATGGTGTGATGTAGGTACAGGTGGTATGTAAGGAATAATGTAATTCTATTGAGGTTTATGCCCTTACGGTCTTAAGGTTAAATGGCATCACCAGAGAGCGATATTACTCGGTGACAGCTTGTTCATTCAGGAGTGAGTTGCCACTCCTCCCTGGTTAGCTGGTGAGGTAATGCCAGGCTCAGTTGTCTTCCATTGCCTCATCCCAGAAGAGTCAATGACAAACCATCAAAGACACCTGCAAACAGTCCAAGCCACTTGGAGGTAAAAATGGACCATTACAATAGACAGGGGATTGCCCTGCCTATGAATAGAGACAAACAAGTGTTTCCGTAGAATACAGAATGGGGAGAGGTACTCTGGATCCATTCACCAAGGAGACATCATGAAAGTTTGCATTTTAGTTCCTGTGAAACCAGCCAGCTCTGCAACAGACTGAACTTTGAGGGGAAAGCCTAGTGTATTAGATAGGAATGGTAACTATTAATAAGTGTAGGCCCTAATTCTTGTTTTCTGATTTTGTTTTCCATTGTAACCATTTGTTTCCATCACTCTCTCTTGTTTCTAGGGGAATCACTATGCTTTCTTAAATAAACCTTCTTTTGTTTCATTACAAGTGCTATATGTTATAAGAAATGATTGTTTATAGTAAAATTGGTAAACTGGGGCACCCTGTTACTTTGGGGGCACAGGATCTGGGATTTCTGTGAGTAGCCAGTGTGAGGTGCTGAATATCACAGGGGAATGCTTCAAAAGGACTTGGTAACTAGGGTGCACTTCTTGTTAACCTGCAAAGCAAAGACAAGGCTGGCTTAGCCCAAAAGAGAGTGTTTGAGTGACTGAAGGTCTGGTGGTGTTAGGGAGCTAATACCCAGTTACCACAAGCAAGATTCCCTCCTGCTAGAGGCAGATGGTCACAAGGTGACTCACCGTCCTGGGTACCCCAGGAACAATCTCACACATCTTCTCCCTTTGCTTACATCAAGATGATGAGGTGGCTGACATACCAGAGGAGAGAACCATTTCCACCGATTTTCTGTGGGTGGAGTTACCCAGCACAGGGGAAATTCTCCCCTAATCACCACCCAAGGTCTTTTAGGTCAGTTTGGGTTACTTAGGTATTGCAAAGTGACCTTAGCAAACTAAAGAATCTGGTACTAACTCCCTAAATGTAAACTGAGCGACCCTGACAAAGAAAACTGCTGTAGAAAAGCAAATTCTCCTTTATATTTCCAACCTGTCATTAATTATACATACCAAATATACGTAAGACTTACAAATGTATTATCAACATATTTAATAACACTCAGCACTTATACTGGGCTTTAGATCCATACAACATTTTGGACACTGATGAGTTCATCCCCACAGCATCCCTGAGAAGGAGGGAGGGAGGCAAGTACAGTAAATATTATCCCTATTTTGCAGATGCAGGAAGAAGACACGGAAGAAGCCAGTGTCAGAGCTGGGACAACAACTGAGCAGGAGTCAGTATGGCTCAGTGCATAGAGCACTGGGCTGGGACTCAAGAGACCTAAGTGCTATTCCTAGCTCTGCCACTGACCTGCTGTCTGAGCTTTGGCAAATCACTTCACCTCTGTGTGCTTCAGTTTTCCCATCTGTAAAATGGGGATATGACAGCTAACCTTCCTTTGAGATCTAGGGCTGAAGAGTGCTATAGAAAGGCCAAGCATTATTATTCCTGCCTTCTCATTAGTCCATTCAACGCCATTGTCTCTTGATTAGTATGTTGGCTGTGCTTCTCTTGCATAATATGGCCCAATAGAATGACTTCATATAGGCAAATATGAATACAACACATTTCTTAGCAACATGATGTAACATGGGTAGCATGCAAGGTGGGTTTGTTTGCTTTCTAAATATTTATTTAATATCTCTTTAGCCATAATGACTTTGGTTTTGTCTGCAATGTACAAGCAGAGCAGGACATCAATATTCCATGCTTTCAGGGACAGAAGCACATAAGTTAAACGGTGCGTGTTTCAAATGATAAGTCGTTCGTTAAAAAACACTGCAGGCAGTGGCTAAAGGCTTCTTCCAGAAGAAAAAACAAGAACATAGTATTCAAAGGTTAACTGGCAAAATAGTACAAACGTTATGCTGCCGTGAGAGCGCATGCTTTAGGAATATACCAGGCAAATCTGTTTTACATTCCTGCAACAAATTCAGATAAACTCATAAAGGACCCAATTTGTCCCCAGTGTAATCCCATCAATTAATGTGCCCAAATACGCAGCAAACAAAATCATGAAATGTGGCCCAATCTTACAGTCCTTACTCGAGCTGTCCATACTCACATGATTGATTCCATTCTCTTCAAGGAAACCATTCACATGAGACCAACTCACGCGAGTAAGAGTTGCAGGTTCAGGACCAAGGTGTTTGATGTATGTGCAACATGTAACAAATAAAAAGAGTCTGATCTTGCCCTCACTGATGTCATATAACTGTCAGTACAGTTGTAGCTACAAATGTATTATGGACGCATCACTTGTTATACAGACTTTTTCTCTTAATTTTAATGAAAAATGAAGGAATTTAAATCTCACTGTAACACATTTAATCACCAAATACAACAGTTACTCAGCAGAGCCACACTCAATTACCTATACAATTATATTAAATGAATCAATGTTTTTCCTATTCTACACACTTGTAAAAATCACTCCTTTTCTGACATGTTTTCAGAGTCCTATAGCATAAGAAACACAATGCAGACTTCAGATTTTCAACATTTATTACCACTTTTCATGAGATTCCCCCCCACCCCACCCAGGGTAATTAAAAAAAAATCTACCATCAAAAAAAGGAAAGAGTTATTCCTGTTACTCAACACAGCTGTTTTCGCATATGCCAGGGAAAGCTGAGGGAGAAGGCAACGAGCTCTGAGACTATAAGCAGAGACCTGTTCCCCAAATCTGTCTCCTGTAACTTGGGAAGTCCATGGGAGGAAAGCTCCTGCACTGACCCTGCTGAACAGCTTGGAAAGCTCCCTTGGCCACTAGCCCCCCAGCCAGTTCATTGATACGTGCCATGGGGGTAAGTAACAGCCTTGTTGAACTGAAAGTGAGTATATTACAGGGGGTATTGGGGCTTGATTTTGCAATGTGGCCCTGATCCAACAAAGCTCTTATGCATGAGTAGTCTCACTGAATTCAATACTGTTCAGGGTCCTGCCTTATGCAGGAAGTCAGATTACATGATCAAAAGGACATCTTCTGGTTTTAAACTCTAGGAATCTGTGACTACTCTCGTGCTTAAGGTACTTTGCTTGATAAGTTCAGCGTCCCCAGCGAGCTGACGTGGTTGAGTATTGTGATGGTAGTGAGCTAATGCTTAGAGATTTCTATTGTGTTGTGTGTGAATGTCACTCTAATTTATAATTTCCTTGCTTTTCAGTGTTTGCATTGTATTCAAGAAATACACCAGAACAAACTCTTGGAGGCACAGTCAGCTTGGAAAACTCACATTTTGGACTGGAAAAAAAGGTGTGTATGTACAAAAGGATTTGTTTCTATTTTTGGGTCCTTTATTTTTTACACTTTGAGAGCATTTATAGTCACTTTCACTGCTCCCCTTGCATCATCACATCATTAGTAATTTGCTTCATTTTTGAAAATACTATTATGAACATCAACAGGGGGAAAGGTAAACCTATACCATCTGTTTAAAATATAACTTTAAAAAGTATCAGAACAGGTTATTTAAAGGGTGATTGATAAGAAACTAGAATTTTTAAAAATTAGTCCATTTCAATAAATGCAAGTTGATTGTGTCCCTTTTGAAAGTCACAGTTGGCTGTGCATTTTCTGCAGCAACATGGGGGTGCAGTTTTAGAAAGTGATGTGGGACAAAATTCATCCCTGCACCAGTGCTAAGTCTCGGGCAGAAAGAGAGATAGAGGGGAGGCAGCTTGTGTCGCCCTTGGTTTGGGACTGCCAGGGACAGGCTCAGTCCTCCAGTGTAGACTAAAGTAGCTTTTAGGGCTGCCTTACCTTGCAACCCTGCTGCCCCAGGGGCCATGGCAGCAGCACAGAATTTCCTGAGCATAAGAATGCCCCAGCCAATCCCTCTCCCACCTCCCCGACACACTCTCCTGTCTGTCCCAGGCTGGCTCCTGTGCCAAGGCTTTCTCCAAGGTGGAAGGGGACAAAGCCAGTTCAGTAACTCTCACAGAAGGCTTCTTGGATATTCCCTGGGGGAATCTATGCGGGTACTTTGCAGACCCTTTGCAAATGGAATTTGTGGTCTCTGCCGTGGGGTGCATTCAACTGACTTCAGTGGGGCAATTCATGACTGTAAGAATTCTGCTGGGTAGTAAGTATTTGCAGGATCAGGGCCTAGGTATAGAGGCTGGATCAAAGCCCCTTTGAAAATGGCATGTTAAACAGTCTATTGTGCAATTAAAATACATTTTCAGAACCATTATTTCTACAGCTCCTCAGGTACATGAAAGAGAGATTTGATGATCAAAGGGCAGGTGTTCCCTCAAGCCTCTCAAAAGGGCTCAGAAAAATGATGGTGAGATGGACTCTGACTCAAGTCCTTGGATGTGAATACTTCCCCACAGTTCAGAAAGGCTGGATCTGGATCCAGATTCAAGCCTTACCACTCGTATCTGCCACGAGGCAGGGGCAATGTTAAGGGAGCTCCAATCCCTCCAGATTACCTTGGTATATTGTACTGAATGGGCCTGATAATGACTTCACCCATGTAAATCAGGAGTAGGTCTACTAAAGTCAATGGAGTGACAACAGGGTAAAGCCAATGAAAGTGAGATCAGAGTCAGGCCCCAAGTCTTCAAACCTGGTATAACCCAAACAGGGATTTAGCTACTTCTCTGAGCTAGAGTGAGAGCCTGAAATCTTACACCAGTTTTAAACTCTAACCTAAATGCCTCTCTGACCATAATTGGTCACAGCTGGGATCCCTTTGTTCAGCTTCAGCTAGAAGAAAGTCTACAGTCTGTAACGCAAAACATATGTGAACTACAGCTCTTGCTAAGCAGCCACAGTCAGAGGGTTTTTTAAATTTCTGACATGGTGGCTTTTTGTGCAGCAGCAGAGTGGTTGGAGAAGTGCAGCTTCATCGTTCGCTCTTAGCCATTCAGACAAGAAGTAGTCTCTGCATATATAATGTAGGCTACCGGTGGTATGACCTTATACAGCAACAGGCCCGAGGACCATGTCAATAATGCAAAAAGAGATTGGGAAACTCAGACCCCGGGCCCAATCTGTGAAATAGGGCTTCCCCATGCATGAGTGAGGGTTGTAAGGGCTTGTAAGGCATTTTGAAGATGAGAAGCACTTTATGGGCTACGTTTTATTATAGCAGTGGCATTGGATAGCAGGGTATAGCTATGGGACTGTACAACAGGGCATAGAAATGCTGCTGCTTATTTCCAGCACAGCTACCTTACAACGGTGGAATAAAATAACACACCAGAGTGTCTGTGACATGCTTTTTGTGGTGGGATCCTCTACAGAAAGTCAAGTCTCACTCAGCTGCCCTTTACATACCGTTCCAATTAGAAAAGGTTGTGGAAGGATTAAGACTTTCAGGCTCTGTAGAGATGCCTAGATGGACATTAGCTTCAGTTCTGGTTTCTCCTCATCTTTGTTTAATAAAGAAGAATAACAGCCTATTTAAATTCGGGGATGATGGGCAGAGCCCACTGGAACATCAGCAACAAAAGGCCCATTGGAAGGGGCCAAAGGATCCAGCAGATAAATGATTGCAGGGAACAAAAATGAAAAACAGAGACAGGAGTGTAGGTCACTGTGTCAAAACAAGGGATCCAGACGGGGACTTGAGCAGAGAACCCTGGACAACACCTACTGCCCTGAGAAGTAATCTAAGGAGTCAGTGGATGCTGCCCAGAGGAACTTTGCCCCAATATGTGCACAAACGAGGGATTGGCAAAAGGCCCCAGGGTTGCGAAGAAACCCTTCCCCCACATCCAACTTCCTCCTCCTGAACAGATGGATGGCCACCTTGACCAGTGCCAGGAGGTGGTTGATGGGGAGATCTCAGGACTTTCTGAGCCAATGGATAGGGAATACACAGAAGAAGAGGTGCAGGAAAGAGTGAAGCCAGCTGTATCCACAGAACAGGTACAGCATAGGTAATTTTCCCTTGCACTGCTCTAGCCCTGTTGCCTGTTCATTCATTTCCCCAGAAGTTCAGAGAAGTGGGAGCCGACTGAGGTGGGGAATCTTGCCTGAATAAGACATTTCAACTGCTCACCTTCAACTTCTGGTCACTGACTTCCTTCCTTGATGATCAAAGAAATTTGGAGGGAAGGGCGCACGAGAGAAATACCCCAAATTGTGGATTTCAATGAGTTGGGAGCTTTGGGAAGGAGAACCAATCACAGACCGGTGCCCCCTCCCCAAATAAAAATGTTTCTCATGACTCCCTCATGACTGTGGAGAAAAGCTTGAACATGTGAACATCAAAGGCTCCAACACCAGAAGGTAAATAAGAAAAATCTGAACAGTTTTATTATTAATTTTAAATCTCATGATTCTGGGGGGGCCTGACTCAGGATTTTTGGATACCTGATTTTGGCAATACTGCAGCTGATTGCTGCTGGCAGCTTGCCTGGGCTAGATTTCTTCATTTGGGAATGAGACTGAGGGGGCTGAGAAGGGAAGTCTGTGCTGGCAAGAAGTGAAGGGAAGAGGAGGTGGTGACTGAGCTGTGCAAAACAATCTGTTTGAGGGATCCCAACGTTTTTCATTTTTGGGGTGAGAGGGGGAAGAGTGGGGTGGATCCTACCTGAGCCTTAAATCCCTCTGAGACTTTGTGAGCTCTCTCACACATGCCCCGGCGTCGTCTGCAGGCATTTGTGAAGCGCATCGCTCGCTGAGCTATTTTTAAAAAGTCTCACAAGGCCCATAGCCACTTCCAGGCCTCGTGAGAAGAGACGTATGAGCAGCCAGATGCAGAGGGCCTGAGGAAGTTAGGAAGGTAGCTGCCACAAATCCACTTCTAATCCTCCTTTAATTGCACTGGTGAGCAAAGCATTAAAGCTGAGGCAGTGCCATGCTGAAGTGGGCCACAGCAGCCATAAAGGCGGCAGCAGCAACGGATGATGCATAGCTGTGCAGTATGGGGAATATACAGTGTAGACTGTAATTAGGAAACCACTTAACTGTGAAGCAGGCTGCCCATTAAAAGCAGCTGATGAGGCCAGCAGACTGCCTTTACACAGACACTAGCCTGCTAGTATTATTGATCTTTTTTTTTTTTCTGGGGTGCTTCTGAATGTCTGGGGTGAGGTAATCCACCAGCACCATGGAGACTGAAAATTTGCCTTTAAATTGCACCATTGAGATCTGCCCCAGCTTGTCCAGTACCACAGCCATTAAGCTAGCAAACAGTAGGGCAGTTTACCTGCAGGCACACCTCTGGGCAGACAGCCACGAGATGCTGGATGCATCATACACCTGCTTCCCAGGCGCTCTCTCACTGCACTGGGAAAATTTAAAAACTAAAAACATTTTGAAATGTTGTAAAGGAAAGAGTCTGGACTAAATCTAAATAGAAAACTATATAACAACAGCATCGCAAGTTCTTCTACTGCAGACTTCATGCAAGGATCTCAGACTGCTTTACAAACATGAATGAATTAAGCCTTTTCACCCCAGCACCATGAAGTATATAAGTGTTTTAGCCCAATTTCACAGATGGGGAAACTGAGGCAGAGAGTTGTTACGTTACTTAGGAACAGAACTCAGGTCCAATGACGCTCAGTCCTCCTGCTACCTTCATGTCTCATTAAGCTTTATTAAGCCATCTAGTCCATCCATCCCCTGGCCAACACAGGAGTGTACCCTGCACTGTATTACTTAGCGCTTTTCATTTGTCCAGACACTAAAGTGACTGATCCAGCAGCTCACCTCTGAGGTTGGTCTCTCAGATCAGGCTGAGGATGTATTGGCAGAGCCTATGTGGTAGGCGCTTGCCCTACTGCTGCCCATGCTGTACCAGCTCTGTGCATAAAAAAAGAGGATTTCAGTCTCCAGGGCTGCCAGGTTAGCACCTCACAAAAGCACTAACAAAGTCGCAACTTTGTTGTTGTTTTTAAAGCAATTAAAAAAACAAACCCTCCCTCCCAGCCTTTCTGTACCAAGAATTGCTGGGGAAGGCTAGAGCGGGAGAACCATTCCTCGTGTGCTGATTAAAGTGCCACTTCATGGGAGCTGACATCAGCCATTTCAGAGAGGCAGAGAGAGCTGCTCTTTTGTCCTCTCCTTGTTTGTGTTCCATCTGGATGGGCTCCAAGGGGTGGGGGGAAGGGGGAGGAAGCTAATGCATTTCGAATAGGTTTCTGGACTCCTCTGGCTTTATACAGGGAAAGATTCCAGAGTGACCTAACTTTCAATTACCCAGTTCAATTAAAAAAAGAAACCAAAGGCCGCTTCTGCTAGCAGCCAAGCTAAACTATAATTAGAATGTAATAAGGAAGGGGAGTGTGGTAAGGCTCCAAAGATGATTGCATGAAAGGACACTGGTGCATAACGCAAGCTTAGGACTGAATAATTGATAGATGCAGGCATAACTCCAGTCACTCAGATCCAATGGTGCTGGAACTAGGGGTCCTGCTGCACCCCCGGCTTGAAGTAGTGCTAACAAACACCAAATACGTGGTTTCTATCATCAGCATCCCCACTGTAAAAATTGTTCCAGGGCCCTTGCCTGGATCCCCTCCATCTCAGGAGTGCTTTCCTTTAAAGTCTGATCTAACACAATAAAAGCCTTTGATGTATCAGGTTTCCACCAAACACACTGCAGCAGGGGGGTTATAGAAAACACAGGAGTAATTCCCTGACTGAGCCTCCGTTCTCAGGTCAAAGGCTAGGCAGGACGAGCATTATGGTAACCATTAAAGCAGATCTCCCTTCCTCTGAACAGACCAGCAACCAGAATGCCTCATACTTTCCTACTTCCATAATGCAGGATTATGGGCTGAGGGTGGCCCTGCTAACTAGGTCACGTGGGGTGGCTTGTCGGAAGATGGGAGCCCTGAGATTAGATGCTCCCTGATGAGACAGGCAGCTGGGACTCAGCCTTATATGGAAAGGCATCTTTATTTGTTCTGGGCTGCAGCTGAGACACACTGTGAAATGTTTGGCCAGTAACACCGTTTCACACACCCACATACTGTAAGGTTTCAGAGTAGCAGCCATGTTGGTCTGTAGCCGCAAAAAGAACAGGAGTACTTGTGGCACCTTAGAGACTAACTCATTTATTAGAGTATAAGCTTTCGTGGGCTACAGCCCACTGCATCGGATGCATAGAATGGAACATATAGTAAGAATATATATATATATATATATATATACACATACAGAGAAGGTGGAAGTTGCCATACAAACCGTAAGAGGCTAATTAATTAAGATGAGCTATTATCAGCGGGAGAAAAAAACTTTTGTAGTGCTAGTCAAGATGGCCCATTTAGACAGTTGACAAGAAGGTGTGAGGATACTTAACATGGGGAAATAGATTCAATTTGCGTAATGACCCAGCCACTCCTAGTCTCTATTCTTACATTTTGTATGGCAACTTCCACGTTCTCTGTATGTATATATAGCTTCTTACTATATGTTCCATTCTGTGCATCCGAAGCAGCAACAGGAACCTGGGTGGAAGTAGGGAAATTGGTTCTGTGAAAGGGCAATACCCCTACCACAGCTAATCCATGTGTCTTTCATACCTCAGAGCCCTGAACCTGCCTCCTCTTTCCAAAATTAGATTGACATGAACGCCAACATTTGGCACAGGTCATTGCTCAGACTAGGATCCCTGCTTTACCACTGATTAAAACGAAGGCCCTGGACAGAAATTTGGAGCATTCAGAGGTGGAATTGGTTGACTTTAATGAATTAAGCTAACACCACTTCCATCCACACACTCAAAAAGGAAAGACAAGTGCTCCCACAATACTGGGAAATAATGACTAGAGTGGCTCAGCTAAGTGCAGCACTAAGAACCATGCGATATGCCCCTCAGAAGTCTTTGTGCACCCCACAAAGGAGTGCAACACCAATGTGGATACAAGTCATTGCAGCCTAGCATGAGTGAGAGTTGCCAACACAAACAAAGTCACCCAACTATAAATCACTCAAGTTAACTCTGCAGTGAGGATGCACCCAAAGCGCTTTGCACACTGGAATGAAATTAAAAGCTGTTCTGAAAATGGAATTTTCATCTGAGGGGAAATGTTAACAATTCAAAATAATTTTCCATTTCAAAGCAGCACAGAAAGTCAAAAGATCAGTGTCAACTTGGCAATATCAAAACCTTTTAAAAACGTATTTTCAGTCAAAACAAAGCGAGTCAGCACATCAGGACATTTTGCACATCTAAACAAGTTTTGTTCCAAAGATAATTTTTGAAGTGACATTTTGAAATGACTTGGTTTATTTTGACTCTCCCTACTGGAAAACTGGAAAAAAAAATACAAAGTGACATTTTCCAATAGGATATTTCAACAAAACCACATTTTCCACCAGCAACATTTTTTCCTGTAACATTTTCATCCCACTCTAGCCTCACAGTGAGACCTAGGTGCAGACCCTACTAGTGCCTGGTCCCCAGTTCTTTGATCTAAACACCAGTCCACACTCCCTCCAGCACTGAGTAAGCCCCATGAGGATGCCATTTGCAGCTTTGCCTTCTGGCTGACAGGAGGCTGATGCTGGCTAAGTAACTGCTGGGGTGTGGGTAAAGCAAGTGGGAGCATGACAAGCAGCCACTGAATGTCTCTGCGTCTCTCCTCTCCACCCTGCAATAATTGTAATTAGGCTGGACCTCTTCCAAAGCATTGCTGAGTGCTGAATGCTCCCTCCCAGGGAATGTGACATCAGCACTGCCCTGATTCTCAGTCATGTGCAAGCTTCATAGAGTGCAGCTTCCTGCTTTCTTCTCTACTGCTGCTGACTAAGGATGTTCTGTTGTATTTACATTAACCAGCTAAGAGAAAAACATGCTTAAAACTGGTATCTTGCCTGGTTTAGTCACGCAAGTTGTGCAGTAGTTACTCAGCAGGAAGTTGGGCTGTGTGCACATGTGGAACCAGGCCTGCTGGGGGGGTCTAGTTTCTGCTCTGCCATTGACTCACTGTGTAATCTTGGGCAAGTCACTTCACCTCTCTGCGCTTACATTTCATCACCGGGAAAATGAATGTCAAAATACTAACTCAGAGGGGTGTTGGGATGCATAATTACAATCATTAGCATTTGCAAAGTGCTTTGGGATCCTCAGACAACGGCATTATTGAAAAGCTGAGTATGTCATTGTTGAGCATAAACAAGTGGCAGCTCTGGGAATGCGACTTGGCTACGTGTTCTAATTAGCAGACTGCTGTATTTATGTACTTTGCAAGACAGATTATTGGCAGCTACACAGAGGAAGCAGCTTAAGCTGGCGAAGAGGTGAACAGGTTGTTCAATTGGTGCAGCAAGAGCAG